CTATAGGGTCACAGTGGTTTTTATGAATGGACTCGATAGTAGTGAGTTGTTTTTGTCTTGTTGTGTTTTTTTTTTTAACTCTCTCGAGGTTCAGTTGGTCCTGCCCAGGGCTGACCCTGCTGGCTCCCGGGGATTCTGTGATCTCTTCCCTTCTTTCCCGAGACTCCTGCTGCAGAGACCACCAGACTGCCAAGAATTGCTGACTCCAGAGAAGCCACTAGGTGGCTCCCCGCAAACCCTGCCTCCGCCCTCTTCGGAGCTTGGCTCGGGTCCCTGCGCGGGTAATAGGGCCACACCCAGTCTCTCCTCACTCCCCCAAGGAGGAGAGTGGGCCCAGGGCCCCGCCGGCTGTGTGTGGACCCGCCATCGGGTACAGGGCAGTGCCAACCTCTATAAGGCCCTCTGAGAGGCATCGGTTGCTCTCGGAGGGGTCTGGGGCTCAGAAGGCCTGGTTCCTGGATCCGCAGTTGTCAGCAGCAGCAGCAGCAGCCAGGGAAGGCCGCGCTCCTCTCCCCTAGGGCAGAGTGCACAGGTAGGTGGGGCTTCAGGGCAGGCGGGAGAGAAGCCTGCATCCTAAGCACCCTCTCATCCATCTACTTACCTGCTCAACCAGCAGAGAGGTTTTTATTGCCCCTTCTGGAAAAACAAACAGACAGACAGACAGACAGACAGACAGACAGACAGACAGGCACTGCGCTTGAGATGTGGGAGGCAGGAAGACAAGACCAGCCTCCTGTAGGTTGACAGGGATGTCCCTTAGAGCTACTCGGGGCCTAAACAAGAAGTAAGGAACACTGATACCTGAATGAGCAAATAGACACATCATGGGAGGCCTCATTTGGGCAAAGCTTTGGCCATGCTTGGGTCAGAGGATAAGCTCATGGGGCACCCTGAGCCGGAGGAGTGTGTGTCCAAGACCGAGAGTAGGCAGCACCTCCTACCAGGAGCCTTCAACAACGCCCTGGATGAGGATGCTGTGTGGGACTATGTTCACTGCCCATTTTCTTCATGAGACAGAACTGCATTTGACATTCAGGGTCCCAGGTCCCCGGGGCGTTTGCAGTTGGAGCCAATGCTCAAGGACTAAATTTATGAATGGGTAGAATAGAAACTTCCCAGAAGGGAGGGCAGGCGTGGCTCAGACTCTGGATGAACAGGTGTGAGGGGGTCAATCTCTGTGCTTTGTGGATGTTCATTGACTTCCTTCAGTGAGGCACCCTGGGCTCCGTCAGGTCTTGTTCCCCCACTTCCAGTGCTAGAACTGGAAACGCAGTGATGAACAGGACACAGATGGTCCCCACCCCAGGAAGGCAGACATTGAATGTGGAGTAGTCAGACATTGAATGGTACCAGGCAGCATGCATGAAATCTGGGGCCTGTGGGGGGGAGCCGACCAGGCTGGGGCCAGGAAGGATTTTGGAGGGAAAAATTGGGGGGGGTGGGGCGGAGAACACCAGGGAGAGGGAGAGGACATGTACAAAGACTAGGCGGTGACATCATTTGAGTGGGGCTTGACTATGCCTGGGTGCCGGGGCATTGGCTTTCAGGCTGCACTTGACAAGAGAGGCCACCAGGGGCTGGACAAAGGAGACTGGTAGCCTTGATGAGGAGGCTGGTGTCTATCCTTGGGACAAGGGGACACTTTTGAGCAGTCTATATGTGGAAACAAAATAATTCTGGTGGGGTTGTCGGGTAAGCATTGGGCTGCAAACCGCAAGGTCGTTGGTTCAAACCCACCAACCATTCCTCAGGAGAAATTTCAGACTCTGCTCCTGTAAAGATTTATACATTGGATGGTGTAAGATATGGCAAAAAAAAGGAATAATAATAATAATATTTAATATAATAATGAGGGTTCTTGGGGGGTGGGGAGGATGGGTATAAAGGGGAGCTGATACCAAAGAGTGCAAGAAGAAAGAGAATGTTTTGAAAATGTTGGTGGCAGCAATTTTACAATCAGGCTAGAATGAATTTAACTATGAACTGTTATAATATCTGTACAAGCACCCAATAAAATGGGGAAAAATGGAACAATAATCAGTTTAAAAAAAAGATTTGTAGCCTCAGAAACACTACATAACTACATAGGCCACTATGAGTGGAATGATCGTACAGGAAGAATGTTGACAGCACCATGGACTGCCAAGTGAACAAACACATCTGTAGAGGAAGAAGTGCATTCAGAGTGCTCCTTAGAGGCAAGGATGGCCACACTTTGTTTTATGTCCTTTGGCATCGGGCTTGGTAAAGCCGTCAACAAGGTGGATTGACACAGTGGCTGCGTCGATGACCTCCATCGATAAGAACAATTGTGAGATGGCGCGGGACCAGGTGGTGTGTTGTTCTATTGGGTCTCTAAGGTCGGTATGAGTTAGCACCAAATGTACAGCACCAACAACAATAACAACAGCATGAGTCAGAATCAAGTCAACAGCAGTGGATTTGTGTTTGTTTTTTTTATGTGGAAATGGTTGGGGGGCACACGTGGAGAGACAGATGGGACAGAGAGGGTCAGAGTCAAAGGGGTGGACCAGGATGATGGTCCAGGTGAGAGAGAGTGGGGGCCTGACAGTGAGATGGGAAACGCTGGAGTAAAGCCATTTGAGTGGAGCAGGGGGAGTGGACTTCACCTATCAAGTACTGTGGCTATCTGAGTCTAGAGTGGGTCTGGCTGGACTTCACCTATCAAGTACTGTGGCTATCTGAGTCTAGAGTGGGTCTGGCTGGAGACTCAGAGCCTCTGGAGGGCATTCGGGGGTGTCAGAGTTCAGCAGAGCAGGTTCAGGATGGAGAGAGAGGCTGCTGAGGGCCTGGGTTTCCATAGAAGAGCCTGAGGCCACACATAACCTAGATCAATGGATGGATACTCCCTGCAGGGGAGGGGGCAATAGAGACCAAGGAGACCTGATTCTCAGTCATTGGTGCCTCTTCTCAGGGAGTCTGATTCCCAGCAGAGACCCTGAGTTAGCAGCCTCCGATAGTCTCACTTATGCCCTGGATTACTAGAATCCTACCGTACAGGTACTGAGGAACTCTCTTCCTTCATATTGCCATTGAGCCTTCTGTACAACACAATGAAACACTGTCCGGTCCTGTGCCGCCCTTCTAATGGTTTTGTTTGAGCCCATTGTTGCAGCCGCTGTGTCAGTCCATCTCCTTGAGCGTGGTCTTCTTTTAAGCTCTCCACTACACTAAGTGTCATGTCTTTTTCCTGAGACAGATCTCTTCTGATAGCACGTCCAAAGTATATGAGATGAAGTCACACCATCTTCCCTTCCAAGGAACATTCTGGTTGTACTTTGCCCTTCTGGCAGTCTGCGGTACTTCTAATGTTTTCAATAACACCATAATTCAAATACATAATTTCTTCACCTGTCTTCCTTATGCCTTGTCTAACTTTAACATTTGAAAATACCATGACTTGGGGCAGGAGCACCTTAGTCCTCAAAGTGACATTCTTACTTCTCAACACTTTAAAGAGGTCTTGTGCAGTAGATTTACCCAGTGCAATGCATCATTTGATTTCTTGACCGCTGCTCCCAAAGCATTGCTTGTGGATCCAAGTACAGTGAAATCCTTGACAACGCCAATCTTTTCTCCAGTTATCCTGATGTTGTCTATTGGTCCAGTTGTGAGGTTTGTGGTTTACTTGACCCAGAGTTGGAAGCCAGACTGAAGGCTTCAGCCTTGATTTTCATCAGCAAGTGCTTCAAGTGCTTCAAGTCCTCGTTGCTTTCAGCTTGTCTTCTCCTAATCCTGATGCCTCATCTTTCATCTAGTCCAGCTTCCAGGATGATGTGCTCAGCATACCGATTGAACAAGTATGGTGAGAGGACACAATCCTGGCACACACCCTGATTCTAAAGCTTGCCCCCTTCCCTGGTTCTGTTTGAGGGACTGCCTCTTGGTTTACATAAAGGTTCCACCATGAGCACTGTCAAGTGTTCTGGATGTCCCATTCTTTGCATTGTCATCAGTTGTTTGTTATTCGTCCTTCATGATTCACCAACTATTTCTTGAGCATGTACCATGTGCCCGGTTTTGTGACAGAGGCTGCGGATATGCTGAGGGGCTAAAGACACACATGGTTCACATCTTCCTGGCCGGGGCTAATCCAGCGGAGCCGTAGACGTATTCAGCGTCTGAAGCTCAGGAATAAGGGTAGGAATGGAAAGAAAAGTCTGTGCCATTTGTGGATAGGGAGGAGTTACAGGAAGAGAGAAGTAGAGAGCCCTGCCCGGGCTTTAAGGAATGCCAGCCTTTCATGACTAGAGGATGGACAAGGCTGAGGCAAGGAAGGAGACTGGTCAGAAGTGTCTAGAAGGCATGGAGGGAAACCAAGTGGCAGATGGGGTCAAATGCTGCTGGGGTCTTGGAAGACAATGGCCCCTGGATTCTGTGATGTATAGCTGTAGAGAGTTTACTGAGACCAGGTCTGGTATTGTGAAGGGGTCAGAAACTCAGCCGTCAGGGCCAGAGGGGTGGGAGAGAGGTGAGGATATGGGGTCAGACAGCTCTGTCAAACAGTTTAATGGGTTTGGGGAGAAAAGAGACACTACTGTAGGTGACAAGGCCGAATGAGAGCGTGGTTTCCGGAGCAGAGGCTTGAACATCTTTCTGGGCTGTTTACATGGGGGTGGAGAGTGGTGGACAGTCAAGAGAAAGAAGAGCTGAGTCACGGGGCCAGCTCCAGGGAGGAGAGTATGCAGGACTTGGCCCGTGGGGGTGGGGCTTTTCCTCTGATTTACGGGATGGAGCAGGGCACGACAGTGGTTTGCACTTTTTGTGCGCGGTATACAATCTCCGCCTCTGTCTGTCTGTGCGTGCGTACAAGCACGTGCACGCGCTGCCTCAGGTCTGGGCTGCCCATCTGGCCTGCATTCCACGGGGAACACCCATACTTGGCGGGAGCCGCAGCCTGGCACCTCCTGCTCTGGGTTCCCCTCCCTGATGAGATTCTCAGACTGCGTTTCCCCTCATTCATGACCAGAAAGGTTCACAGAGCAGGCGTGGGAAAATGCTCAGGGCTTCCCGTGCTCGGGACGAGGTTCGCTGCCTATGCCTTCATGCCTTGCAGACTGGACTAGTGTGGTGGTCAGGGGCGGTGGGGATGGGGTGGGTGTCTAGGCAGAGTAAGGGTGGGTCCAACGTGCCCCATACTGTTGTACCCCAACCCCTCCGGTCTTTGATCGGCTCCCTTTGGGCCCGTCTTGGTTTCTACAGAGTGGACGCTGGGAACCCGGTCTTCATGCGGGCCTTCTCTGTCCACCCCTCCGGGTAGCCCAACCTTACGTCAGCAGTCCCAGGAGGGGAAGGGGCAGAAGGAGCCCCAAGGACCCGGCAGGGCCGCCAAGGAAAGGGGCGTGAGCTGAGAACGGCACGCAAGGAGGCTCCGGGGGCAATGTCCACGCTGGGCGCGGGGGTGGGGGGGTCGCCGC